AAAAACAAGAGAGGAAATGGGAAAACAGCTGGGAACTGATACCTAAAGCAGCAGGAGGAGTAGCTGGTACAGAGGGAGTGCGGGATGAAGGAGTGGAGGGGGATGGAGGATGAAAAAAAGATGCCATAGGATGCAAGCCTTGGGGTTGCATGCATGCCTGTTTGGCTGGCTGTGTCTGTGCGTCTGTATATACTATCATGCCTGTGCCCAAGGGCTGTTCTCCCCCTGCTAGGAAACTTCACTTGAACTTCCCTAGAAATGAAATGGCCCTAAAATGACATAAAACCCTCACCTTTGCAAACTCCACTGCTGGCCATGAAGCCCGGCTTGTCCCTTCCAAGATTACATGGCAATTGCCCTTCTGTGCTGGTGCTCTGGGCAACATAGCACATCTCACAGCCCTGCCCCTTGCTCCCTGGGCATCCCACTTATGAGGCACATCTTTGGGTTGTTGGCAGATCAGCAGGTGGGAATAGAGACTTGCCCATCAGCTCATTCATGCATAGTTCAGACGGTTAATTGCTTCTGGCTGATTTTCCAAAAATTAGATACCCATTGAAATCAACAGGACTCAAGGGCCAAAATCCCTTTAAAGAAGGGGCATCTTGGCATTCTGAAAAAAAAATTGTCTGCAAAATGGAGATCTGCTTCTGGGCTGAAGCAGGTGGGTGGTTCAGTCCTGCGGGCTGCGTCTTAGCTAGTGTCACTGCAGGGGTATCCTTAATGCACAGTACAGCTTCCACCTTCACTTGGTGCTACTGGAGGAGCCAAGAGAGTTTGCAAACTCAGCCTTGTAGGAGCAACTTGTAGGAGCAAGCTGGTAGGATCAGCAGCTGGACATGGTATCCTGGAGGAATTCAAACAGCTGCCTTCATGCCCTAGAACAAGCCTTGCCAGGGAGATACGGAGCAAGAGCTGTTCCACGGGGAGGAACAGAACAATGGCTTTATTTTCGGCTGGTTGGCCAGTCCTGGGAGGAAGCCTGGTTTTGTGGCTAAAGCACAGAAGCAGAAGCCAAGGGATTGCAGCTCTCTTTCCACCTCTGGCCCAGACTCTCTGTGTGACCATCATAGTTTCATAGTGCTAAGGGTCAGAAGGGTCCTAAACAGATCATCAGGTCTGACCCCCTGCCCCAGGCAGGAACGGGTGCCACGGTCATATCACTCCAGCCAAATCACCTAGGGTGAGTCACTTCACCTGGACACCTCTGTTTCCCCATCCATAATTACCCATGGTGGGGATGTTAAAGCATCCTGCCACTGCTCTAGAAACCATGAGGTTGCTTAACTCTGGACTCATGCCAAAGGGTGCCCCCAGTCAACCCAGCAATGAAGACACCTGGATGTGATGCAGCCGCATCATTCTCTTGTGTGGTGTTGACTCCAGGAGACAGGTGTGCTTTAACCAAGTGAGCTCAATGGGCTGATAGACATGGCCAGCCTTCTGAGCTTTTCTTTGACCCTACAAGCGTCTGTGAGGTTCATAACCATAGAGCGTGTCTACACATGCATTTACTGCACATTAAATTTACTGTGCAGTAAATTACTGTGCAGTAAATGGATTAGGGCTGGCATCTATACATGCAGGCATTAATGTGAAGCAATGCTGTGTTTGGACTGACGTGGAAGTAAAGTTAGTTCCAAGCCAGTCCACACACACAGTGTTACTGTGCAGTAACGCATCTACACGTGCATTACTGCGCAGTAACTAATCGGGCAAAAATTTGCTACCTGCATGATGCAGGTAGCAAATTTATGCCCAAATTGGCATAAGTCACCATAGCTACTGTGCAGTTCAGGCATGCATATGTAGACATGTGCCTGTACTGTGCAGTAATTTTCAATTATTGCGTAGTAACTTAGGTTACTGAGCAGTAAATGTGCACGTGTAAATGCCCCCATAGAGGCATATGGAGCAAAAGCTCTTCTGGAATTCTTTTTGCAAGAAACTCAAAGTGCTTGACAGAAAAGATTGGTACCGATATGTCTTGGGTTTTTTGGGCTGGGGGAGAAGAGTTTTTAAATTGTTGAGATGTCCCTATTTAGATAGCCTCAAAAGGAAATATCCCACCTTTTGATCTAAATGTAACTTGTTGTATCAAGGTTTTAGCTAGTGAGAGCAAAAATGTTTAAAACATAAGAAGGTGAAAATCAAAATGAAGCATTTCAGTTGACCCAAATTGATGCTTGGGTTGGATTGTCGACTCATATAAAATTGAGGTTTTGACCTTTGGAATGGGAAAGACTTTTTTTTTGTGACTGTTTCCTCAGATGGGAAAACCAAGTCTGCACCCAGGTCCAACACTGAGATTTCAGATAACGGGGACTGCGGCAGCTTAAAGCCTCTGCTGCATATTACTTTTGGCTATGGGAGGAAACCCTGAATGTAAAATCTATGCCTTTCTTAAGTGAACACAACTAAGGAGTGTATGTTCATTGGAAAAACATTAATTGGAAACAATGCCGGTGACTGACCTCACTTTATTTGGGCTCTCTCAGATTGGCTGGAAGGCATAGAAGATTGTAGGTGCTGAATCACTGTGTAGGGGAGGAATTTGCATCATTTACTTCTCATTAAACTCAGGCAGAGTAAGTTTAAAAGGGAACGACCCATATTTAAAAAGTGCTTCAGGCAGCCATCTGGGCCAGGCTGAACCGGGTTAAATATTCCATGAGAAATAGCTGCGACTCTGGTATTCACCATCTTTAGCTCTCGCTGGGTGCTTGTACATGTGACAGAGGTTTAGTCCTTCGGGTTGCATTCTAAGCCCCCTAAATTGAAACGATGAGTTTTTAACTGAAACCTCACCATTTCAATCACTGTCGCTGTATATATGATGGTTCTGGTGGCTGCAAGTGCTGCTGAAGGCAGAAGTGATGAGGGGCCTGATCCTTTTATTTTTTGGCAGTGTCTGCCCACCTCTTCTGCAGCTGGGGGGCTATTAAGCTGTTAGTTTGTCACCTTGCCCTCCAGCCATGGGGGAGGCGGGCAGGCTCTGTGGAAAAAAGGATCGCGCCTCTTGCTGCTTCTGCCTTCAGCAGGCTCCTGCAGCTGGCAGGATGCCTAGAGTCACCCAGGAATGAGCTGGCTTGCCCCTTGGGCAGCATGGGAAGGCAGCAGGAGGGCAGCTGGGTTTGCTGGTGGCTGGCATAGGCAGGGGGAAAATGCATGGGGTGCTGGAAGCTTGGGTGGGCTGCTAGCTGTCTAAGTGCTGCCCCAGCTTGGAGGCACCCTATCCAATGCTCCCCTGAGCCCACCCAGGCTTTCAGCACCCCTTGCACTATTCCTGCCACGTCTGGCTGCCAGCAAACCCAGTCATCCTCCTGCCACCTTCCTGTGCTGCCCCAGGGGCAAGCCAGCCCATTCCCAGGTGGCCCCAGGTGTCCTGCTGGCTGCAGAAGCCTGCTGAAGGCAGACGGAGTGAGGGACCTGATTCTTCTTTTCCACGTAGCCTGCTCACCTCTCCTGTGGCCAGGGGACGAGCTGACTAATGGCTGTGATGTTCCAAATTGCAACATTGCAAACTAAACTACATTGGGATGTAGTTTAGTTTGCAACACTGCAAACTCATTTAAAACCCACAAAGCTCAGGTACGTGTCATATGTGATGCCACTAAGCCACACAAAGGGAAATTTTCGTCATGTGCACATCACGACATGGTCACGTGTACAAGCGCCCTCTGAAACCAGTTGTGCAGGGACCCCCATGGCGAATGAGTGGAAAATTATTGGAACCTTAACAAACCCCAACCAAGTTCAGGGTCAGTTCTAGGCAAAGGTTTGGGTCACTTCTGCCTTTAAGTGAACCAGCTAGTTCATCCCTCAGATGCAGGGTCCTAAAGATATGAACAGGATGAGGCCACTGTTTTTTCATAATGACCTACCATCATAACAAGCACAGTTTAAGGGGGTTCCTCCATGCTGGACCATGGGCCAGGCCAGTGGAGAGTCAGTAGGAGGTGAGACGTGTGTGCTTTTACTTCAAGAGAACAGGAGGCTCCAAGTTCTACCCCAGGGCATTTCAAATGACCTTAGGGTGCACATCATACCAACAGATCCCTAGGCAGCCCCAGATTTCCACAGGAGAGTGTCCTTGGCTGGCGTACCAATGTGCTCAGCTTACAAAGTAAAGAACAGGACTGGTGTTGTATCTCAACTGTGACCCAACTTTCTTCAAGGGCGGGGGGTGGGAGGGGAGGGTGTGCAGGGTTTCTGACCCTACAGCCTGTTCCCTTCTTACGCTCGACAGCACACGTTTTCTAATGATTTCTTTTCCCTTTGACTTGCAGGTAGAGGTCTCTTATCCTGAGACTGCAATGAATGGATATACACTAAACAAAGGGGTCCAGTCAGCATTTCATACCTGGACAAGCATCCAGGGACCTTTCGTTCTTTGGCTGAAAAGGAGACAGTGCCATTTCCATTAGCGAAATGCTTGCAAGAACCTGCGCCAAGGAGCTGAAAGCTGAGAAAGCCAGCGAGGGAAGCTGGGTCAGCTGATCAGCTTTCAAATCGCCTTCAAACACTCGATTTTCTTAACATGATCCCTCCATCAATGGAGTCTCCAGGGCACCCCTTAGAAACTTTAGCAGGAGACGAATAAGTGGAGCCAAGCAGAAGCAACCGTGATACATTTTGAGAAATACCTCTTTTTCTGAGCACAAAAACAGGAACTGAAAAATATACTTTCAACTCCTTCCCCAACCACCTGGGACTTGAGAGAGTTCTGAGATATTTTTGTACGAGTTTGAGACCGCCCGCCTCATTTTACCTTTGCAGCTACAGTCTCCTACCCAAAGTAAATCCGGGAAGGATACTCCATCCGTTGCAACAGCACCACGGGAAGATTGACAGAAAGCCATTGTCCTTCCTTCTCCACTTGCCGTATAGCCGTCATTCCCAGCCTGGTCTCGGACATTGCAGCTACGGTTGCAATATTACAATCACTGCCTTTGTTTTACAATTTCCCACCCAACATCCAAGCAAGGAATGAAGGCGATATGGCCAAATTATTGGTAAAGTTCCAGCGTTATTTTCGTCGGAAACCCGTTCGCTTCTTCACCTTGATTGCTCTCTACCTGACGGCAGGGAGCCTGGTGTTCCTGCACTCTGGGTTTACGGGGGAGCCGACCGTCTCCGAGAATGAGCCCAACCCTATAGAAGGCACCAGCGAAAGGACAGAACTTCAGGACCTCGGGGTGCTTCAGCTCAACCGGGGATTCAAGGAGGCGCCGGAGTCTCTGAACCCTGCCAGGAGATTCGGGCCTTGGTTCAAGAGCACGTCCAAAGATACCGCTGAGAGAAGCAAGGTGGGGGATTATGGTGGGACCTGGAGCCGGGCTCTCAAAGGCAGAAACGTGCGAGAGAAAGAAGAGGACAGAGGTAAGTTTTTGTGGGGTCGGGGGGAAAGCATAATGAGCAGCCTGTCCTCACTGCAGGGCAAAGGCACTGAACCGTAGCAAAGCTTTGGGTTTCCTGACCGCCGTCGGTGAGAGTTTTGCCATCAGTGAACCCTGAATTTAACCCTGATTTGTTGCTTCTCCTGCTCAGAACATGTTTCCCTTGGCTTTATTGATTCCAGTTGCCCTACTTCGGCTGGGAAACAAATTTCAGCATCCGACAGATCTCACCAGGAGGGATTTTTCTCCTAGATATTCAGCCTGAATTTTCCATTGCTCATTTCCATCTCCTAACGACTCCCGGCCCTTGGACTGAAACAATCCTTCTACCTTTAGGCTGTTTGCAAGCAGCGCTCACAAAAATCCATGTCTCCTCTGGGGAACTTTAAACAGGGTAACAATAGCAAAGCAAACATTGCCAGGAGAAGAGTGGGCAGAGGCGCAAGATCTAGTCTGTGCCCTGTGGGGTCCGCCTATGTGAACATGCTCAGGGGCCTCTCGCAAGGAAAGGGTCTTGTTCACTAGCACGGCTGCAGCCAGACCAAGATCTGGCTTGTGTTATGTCGAGTCTCCATTGTGCTCAGCGGGCTTCCTCTGGTGCACGTTGGTGTAAGGGGAACTTAGCAAGGATTTGGCCCCTGTGCTCTAACTAGAGCCTGTCCTAGGACCGTAGCTCTGAGAATAACCTTTGCTCCCCTCCTAGGACTGTGCTGGAGTCCATTCATTTATAATGCTCACCCTGGATGCCTAATTGAAAGGATGAAAAAAGACTGAAAGCCACAGATTCAAGTGGGTTTCTGTGTCTGATGCTGCCCGTGTACTCCAGCGGATAGGGAAGCACTGCAGTGGATCAATGCTTTTACTCAGCCTGCCAAAAAACTAGTGCCAATACCAGCAGCCCCAGTCTTTGTGTGTCCCTATGATCCAGGTATCCCAGAGAGGTCTTTGCGTGTGACGGGGGACATCAGAAAAACCTCCTCCAGTCCCTCTGAAACATGCAGTCTCCATTTGCAAGGAAGCCCACTCCTGATTTCACACACTGCTGACAGTGCCTTTGCGACGGTGACTTATTGCACCGCTTCTGATGTGCTTATCATCTCTGAGAACCTAATTTACAGCACCTGACAGGACAGTTATTTTACGAGGGATGCTGAGTTATCAGAGCTTCTGTTTCTTTACCGAGCAGGGCGGCAGAGGCAGCTTTTGTGCCTTCCCGATCATTATTTCCATTAGTGCCCGAGCGTGTCACAGAAAGGCAGCACCGTCATCCATTTCTCTGCCGAGAAAAGGCGTGCTGGAGCTCTGTTTGACGTTGGGCAGCATTCATAGGTTTTCTGCACAGAGCAGACGGCCAGGGCCACGATTTGTATATTCGTTTCCAAATCAAACACAACTCCATGTCATGATCTCCTGGATTCCCTCCCTCTAAAGATGCATGCGGCTCCACGAGGAGTTTCTGAAATGATTCGTGCCATTGGTACAAGCTATAATGAGAATGGATCTTCTGGCCCAGTTCCTATTTGCTCCTTTGCTGTACTTACAGCTATGCGATCGCTTAAGAATGAAACATTTCCAAGACTGCTAGCCCAATGAGCCTGAGAAAGACATTTATATCCCTTTGATCATGAAGACAACTTATCAATATTTATTATCGTTAATACTCCTATTATACTTCACCTATTTAACTTGGCCATCCCGGATACAAATTCCTCCTCGAGTAATGGGAAGCTGAAGTGCAGGCAATTATATTTGCAGTAAGGTCTCGGATACGACCCATAATGTCATGAAATATCAACTGTTCCTTGCTCTGCAGGGCAAATCATGTAAAACGTAGTGCAGACTTGCTAGAATATTATTAACGAACAAGGCTAAGCTACTTAAGCAGTTTTCATTGATTTTTTTAAAATGTCACTTCTCTACCTTTAAGGTAACTACATGTAGACAACCACAAATGCTCACAAAGGTGCTCTTATGGGGGTGTGTGTGAGAATCTCAGAAGTCTTCTCTACATTTGGCTAACTAGACTTTTTCCATCCACCCAAGGAGACCTCTGGATGGTTGCTACCTCGTGAAACCTGGACCAACCTACCTCCAGTTGGGTGCCCAAAATTAGTGGCCAACTCAGAAACAAATACTTCATGGCTGGAACAACATTTTAGCTTTAGCAAAACATTAGCTTTCTCTTCCAATAGTGTCTTGACGCCCACCTTGCTGGGGTCATCTGACCCCAGAAGTCTTTCTTGCCCAAGTGCTGATGATCTGTAAGGTCCCTTCCAGCCCCTAACATCTATGAAACTATCTATGAAAATCCCCTACAAATGTGGCACTGCAGGGAAAAAAAAAAATCAGAGTACAGCAACCTAATCTGTTGCCAGGAAAGTGCCCTATGGTGACCCACAATGACCTGTAATCTGTATTTCCAGGTATGAATGGTACATTTTCAAGGCCGTTACACTCTGCCCATACACTTCACCTTGAGCTCTCAATCTGCTGCTTCTGTCCCCTGTGAAGTACTAACTCGCGTCTTCGGTTGAGTGTGAATGCTGTTACAATTTGTTGTCATTAATAAAGTGGGCTGGTGAGAAGAAGCAATATAGCATACTGATACAGTACAGTGCACCTGTGACAGCCACATAATGGATTGCCTTGGTATTTAGGGAAATAGCAGTAGCTTTATCCATTACGGGAACACAAAATGAAACAACCCCCTCCCCCCCGCCCCAAAACCCAGCGGTGGTAACTACTAACACTGTATCCAGGAGCAGAGTCAAGCCCTTTCTCTTTGTGATGACTTTCTTCCCCACCTTAGGGAAGCCTTAGATGGACATGAAGCAACAGGAGATGCCATATGATCACCTCTGCTATTTTTGAAACGGGGTGGGAAGTTTTGATGAGCAATTAAAGAGTGGCTGATCTCCTTGGGAAAGCCCTTACGTCTGTAAAATCACCGTGAATGGTCTTAAGGACCCCCTGTGCGCTAGAAAATGATGCTATTGTTTACCTTCCCCGCTATCACAACCGAATGCAATGTTCCTCCATCAGCTCGTCTAGGTATTTTTGCAAGCGCGCAGCTGGCTTCAGCATTAAGGGTGCAATTTTATTTCCATTTGGTCATCTAAGCTGCCATTAGGTCAGCAGATGTCGCCCGGCGCTGTATGCTGAGCGAGAGGCCAGAGCTGCCTTCCATCTTATGATAGACAGAGTTTTTTGGTTCGAGTTGATATCTTTCCCACTTGGAGGCGGGTTGATGTTTCCAGCAAGCTTTCGGATAGCACAGCATCCTTTTTTAATCCCTTTCTGTCTGATGAGGTGTGCAGTAAAACTGTGGCAACCTAAGGATTTTGCAGCTGTTACTAAGCCTAGCCCTACAGATCGGCTGTGCAGCCCTCGCTTTCCAAATGCATAGGTCTGTGCCTCCTTGGCTAACGTTGGATTGCTGTTGGCCATCAGCAATATAGGGCCTATGACACACACCCAAATGGTTCTCTTGCTGTCCAGTGGAAGGCAACGGTACACATAGTCCGCAGACACTTCATATCAACCCTCTGTAGGGACTGAGCGGCATTTATGTGTCGATAGAAACCTGGGCTGGACGTGTGCACCAACTCCGTGCGCTATAGGCCTGTTCGAAGTATGAACCAATAATCCCCCTGGAGCCTTTAAGTGACTTCCACCCCACATACTAGAAGAGAGAAGACAGGATGCCCAAGTAAAGAAATAGCCCCCCTCTTCTCCTGGTGCCCCATCGCGTTCTTAGGCAAGTGAAATCTATGCAGTCGTGTTCATTAGACTAATTTGAATTGACATTTAGAGAATCTCGACCAGATGGTTCGTGAGAATAAACTGTCAGTCACTGTAAAGCAACATGCCGTCTTCCTGTTCCTGGCCATATGTAATGTGTCCACAGCAATTAACCTCTGATAAAATGGCTTCTAATGTCTAATGACAGAGACGGGGGATTGGCTCCGGGAGACTGCATCACCACGAGCGCGTCGCGTTAGCCACCGAGGAGTGAGTCACGCGTGCCTCGGAGACGCTGGCGGAAGGGGCTACTTTATGCTCAGAGCAAATACGGGCACTACTTCCATTCAATTTATGCATTAATTGTTCCTAGCAAGAAACTGGCCTGAATAACGTGCGGAGGGATTTTCAAGTTCCGTAAGTCCAGCCCATTTTTTAAAAGCTGCCGTGAGCTGCTGCAAAGCCAGTGCTGGAGTCACATCCTGGGGACAGGAGGGTTGTGCGTTCGGTGGAGCAGCTGAACTGGTCATTGCATGGCAGCAAAGCCTGCCCTCTGCGTTCCCACAGCTCAGATACCCTGTTTGTAACTTGATTTATTAGCCGCTTCATTGGGAATGCTTTTCTTTTCCACATAACGGCGCCGGAAGATTTGGTTATACGGGACGATCGCTCAGACTGCACGAAGCTCGCCATTTGTACCAGACGTAAGCACCTCCTGGCTGTAATTAGCAGGAGCGCACGAGGCCTGTATGAGATGCTCGGGAGCAAAAAGACCAAACTGAGACATGGTGTAGCTGCACCTGCCTGGATGGGACCTGCTCTGCTCACCACCTTTCTACAGTGCAGAAAGGGGCGAACTTAGGAAAAAATTTGGCCCAGTGCTTATAGTCTGTTTTTACCCAAGACCCTTCTGCTCCTTCTTTGAGAGAGTGAACTGGTGATATACCAGCCTCTGGGATAGCTCGCAGAAAGGGAAGGATCAAACTAGGGCATCTTCATCACTACAGCCCAAGTCTTTGCCGCTTGTGCTGGCCAAAGCCATCCATGACCGATTAGGAGTAGTAGGCTTTTAACAGATAACTTATTCATCCACGTACCATCCGTACCTTTTCCCCCGCTGAAAATCAGCCTTTGAAATTTGGGAGTGGGGGGCATCTGAAACAAGGAAGCTGCCTCTGAACAGGTTGGTTGGGGGGGGGGGGGGGGGGGAAAGCACATGGTATGTGAATACATATGGAAATA